CAGTCACCAACGCAGTTACACCGTGTTCGAATACTTCAAGCGGGATCCCGTCTGCTCTGGCACACTTGCCGTTTCGCAGCTGAGCAAGTGCTCTCTGCGTCTCATCCAGTGTCGGTGTGTCATTCAGACTCACGGTCACCTGGTGTTGCTTCAGACCGTTCAAGGTAATTCGGTCAATCTCTGAACGGTTGTTCGAGAGACGGCCAAAGTGGTTTTCTAGATCTGCATTATTGCTGCAGTCTGTGTGCAGGTAGCGCCTGAACTACCATCGATTAGCGTTTTCATTGGCTGCAACCTCGGTCCATACACTGCCTACAAGGAGTTGAAAAATTCTTGTGTCGTCGGCGTAGCATTCCCTCTGCTTCGCCTTCTCCGTCTACCATGCATTTTTAATGCGACGGAGCTCTCGGGTCAGTCGCCGTCGAAGTTTGCGAAACTAGCTCTTCTTCCCCAAGTCACTGGGGTCTGCGACATGAGCCAATGTTGCATTCTTCTCACACGTCAATGTGTCAATTATCTCCTTGTTCTTATCAAACCAACCAAGACGCTTACATTTTGCTCACCCGACGATCTCCTCGGCAGCAGCTGTCATCTGGTCGCGAATGCGGTGCAACAGATCGCTCACTGTGGCTAGGCATTCCACATCATACAGGCGTGCATCCACCGCCTCCTCCAACTCAGTACGTTTCTTCACAGTACCGAGGAAAAGAATGTTAAATATCCGCCGGTTCGCGGCAGGAGAGCTATACATAGCTTTACGCAATTATACGCACAGTTTGGTCCGCTTCATCTTGTGATCACTGCCACACACAGCTCCACGCAGTACACGTGTCATGCGCGGTTCACGCGCTGAGGCTTGTGGTGGCTATGCCCTGACAGATCGCCGACCCAGTGCTATTAACGCTGTGCCGTCGTCTCATGTTTTGGACGCCTCCTCGTGGCAAGCGCAGGGTGGAAGTTGGGTTACACTCTTCTCCAAGCTAAAAGCCAGGACATCAATCCAAACGCATCGGTGTGGAGAGATATCATGGGTCCGCATGGCATTGGTTCAGCGAGTGCGAACTGTGACAAGCTACTCTCACTGTGTGCCACTCGGCCCAACGACCACGAATATTCGGTTTGCACGGAGGGCGAGTGATATAGCAACTTGGACGCACCCATGGAGTGGTCACGCTCACCTGCTCGACTATGTCATCGTACGTCAGCGTGACATACGTGAACTGCGCACGGCACGTGTACTGCGTGGAGTTGGGTGGCAGTGATCACAAGTTGGTGCGGACCAAATTGTACATATATTTTCGTAAATCTATGTATTGCAGTCCCGCCGTGAATCGGCGTAAATTTAACATTCTCTCCCTCCGTTCTGTGGCGAAACGTATTGAGCTGGAGGAGGCGATGGCTGCACACCTGTGTAATGTGGAATGCTACCATCGCCGTTGGTGCCTCTTAACTCCCGAGCTGGAATCGCGAAATCTGCGGACACGTTTGGTCGGAGAGGTTTGTTTCTCTAGCCAGAGCCGACATCTGTGACATTTGTATCATGAGTTCTATTTATCTATCGTGCCTCAGTACTAGCGCATAATAGGAGCAAAGCCCAATATTATTCGTTTTACTTTTTTTAAACCTCTATTTGAATGTTGTTGCGTTACAATTTTTCGGTTTCTCTTCGCCTCTATCAAACTTGTATAACGAATGATAAATGAATGAGTTGTCAAAGCGATTATTTACGCCGGTTAGTGGGACGGTACTAGTCTTTTGACATCGGTTAGTGATCTGTCACAGGTAACTGTAGTGCATCCGCACGCTCAAAGCGATTGGTGACAGAACATCAGGATGCACACTTACTTTATTTGGTTTCAGTCTTATGAGTCCCCTGTAAACCCTATTGTTGTCAAATAAGGTGGTGCGACTAGTTATGAAGTGGGAATGTAGGGTGGGATATACTGGACGAGGAGGAGCTTAACTTTGCGTTGAATTCGTCACCTCCACAGTACGGCGTGGTCTAGCTAAATGTTGCATTAAGAGTTTTCACAGATCACGGCAACTGTGGTTCTTTAAAATGGTTTCAATGTACAGACTGTTTTAATTTCTTATCTCGGCTTTTAAAGCCACAAATTGATAATTGACAGAAGCAGTTAGCTTTCACTTATCGGCCTACTCTCTTTTCATGCGCAGTTGCTTGAATAGTGGAGATGAAAATCTATTAGTCCAAAAACAGATGGTCTTAATGGGTCAATACAGATACGGATATGAATATGGCATGTGGGGCGTTTTGCAAAACCCTTCGACGATTTACCTGGCAGTATTTTTAATTTGGGCTATATTGGCTAAATTGACAGGATCATCAGCTGCCTACCACTATGTGCGCTTACTATTTGTAGTCATTCTTTGACTTATTTTTAGTAGGTAATGCATAAGTGACAAACGACATGAGATGGCCAACTGAACATCTGGTATAGGGCGATGAAGCGGTTGGGGTTAGGGCACATAATCAAAGACATTGGAGCATACGGGATGATCAAATTTCACTGAAGAGTATATAAATCGCGTCCCATGAAATTTGAACCTGAAAGCTCATGTAGAACAAACGCTTTGCTTTCCACTTTATTAGAGTGTAATTATCTTAGGTTCAGTTCAACCCTTCCCCGGTGAATAGCTTCTCGCGAGATGGAGCAATATGTTATTCTTGTTACTGATATGGTTGGTTATCCTTCCAATTTGTGCACAAATGTTATTTAACAATCCGTCGGAATAATTTTCTCTTATGCACGAATTGGTTGCCATTATTTACTTCAATTCATTTTACTCTAATTGCAAGATTGAATGCCCCTTTGAAACATCTTGTGCAGCGGATTATAGCCGATCATATGAGTTATTCGAGTTTAATGTCCCACTTTTGATTGCCTATCACTTTTACTGCAAGCGATGGATAGCATTGCCGTGAATTGATGTTTATCTCCACTGCTCATATCGTCACACTGGACTACGAGCCCATTGAACATGATCATCGGAATGGGGTCCCGTTACTTCGAATAAATTGGTCATTATTACAACGGCTCCCGAAATTGCTTTCGCTTAATAGAGTTGAAAATCATTTTCTTGCATGCATTATTGAATCACCGGTGTATCAATACATCTGAATTCTGGATTCTATTTCTACACTTACTCACATAAGTGTTATCTAGAACTGAATCAATGCGACTGATACTCGGCGAATTTTAACGAAATCATATACCTGCTACTGGAGTGCTCTTCCCACAAGCAGTCACTCAGCCGTCGTTCGCTTTGTATGTATCGACCATATGTTCTCCTAGCCCTCTGTCTGTCTCTACTTCTGTTCCTTTGTTTTCTTACGTCTGTCATGTTGTTATCAGCTGCCTTTGATTTGACCCCACTCACAATGTCACTCGCCTCGTGTGATGCATCCAAATCTGATACCATCTCCACTTTTCCTATGTTGGCCACCGCTAGGACTCCGGTCTCCCATGTGAGATGCTGCTGCACACCTGTCACGTGCGTGTTGGCGTGGCTCATTGGGTATTCTTTAATTCAGCTTTTACTCTTTGTGTTACCATGTGTGTGTGTGTGTGCTTATCCACTCATTACCACCGCCACACGCTCACAGACTAATGGTGATGAGAGCTTTACTTACTCACCGAGTTGGTCTCAGATGCGGTTTCCACGCGCCGCCAACGTGAGAAAACGCCAGCATTTTACTCTTCGTTTCGTTGCCTTCTTATTTTTGTGGGTGCTTCTATTGGAACAGGTGTCTGGAGTAGCTATGAGACGTGTACACATTGGCTGAATTATTTTGATTGGCTTTGATCACTTTTGATGCTCGGTACTCACTGGTAACTTTTTGTTTTCCCCGCGTGCACAGTCTTCGAAGAATCCTCGCATTCTCTGCTCATGTTGTGTATGTGCACAAAGCTTGTTTGATATCATTAGGGACCTGATTTGCCAACTAATAATAAATAATACTGTGTCAGCTGTACGCCCTAACGGCGCTTCACTGCCGTGCGACCACGACCAGTCGCGCGCGGGCTGAGTATACTGCGAGGACGCCCACCCCTACGCGGATTCGAACCGGTGACCTTATGGTTGCAAACCAAACGTGCCAACTACTAAACTTCGGACCTCAGGCAAAACGCTACCTTTGAATTGCCTCATTTCTTCGCGGCGTACAGTTGTTGCTCAACGGCAGCACGAATTTTATACCTTTCCATTATTTGCCAGGTGTAGGATGGTGCAAAGGTCCAGGTGGACAGAAATTGACTTGACAGCGGGAAATGAAGTCACTGACGACCAAACTGGGTGCCGTCGGTTCGTTTTGTCTTCTGGGCTGGAGTCCACGTTCCCCGCGTTGTGCTTGCCTCGAGACTTTACAGGACATGGCTGGCAGCCGACTCCAGTGGCGCGTCTGCTGCCGTGTCCTAGTCGGACTGCCTGTTTAAAGTGTGTTTAGTGCTGGGTTATCTGCGGGGCAATAGCTGATTATGACGCGGGGTAGCGAAAGCTTCAAGGAAGCTGTCTCGCCGATGCCGTCTTATCTCTGCACGATAAACAGCTCTTTGTGACGGTGTGTTGTTAACTCAAGCTGTACGCGCCTTGACCATGAATGTTTGCCTAAGGCATTATGGTTTTCTGGTAAGTCCCGTTTCTCCCTCCCATTATTCTTCATTCGACAGGTTCTCATAGTAAATGGCAGAGAAATATCAGTTCAAATGACTGATGTACTACTGCTGCTGCTGTTGTTGTTGTTCTTGTTGTACTTTTTATCCCGAATCCTCTCTCTTTCAGGTTTGTTGATCTTTGATATGAGTGATTGTGCGGTGTTGACATCTGCAAACGAAGTAAGCTATCACCGCGAACGTGATAACGCGGAGAACTGTCACATTACTCCCGATACACCACACAATTGTTATCCACCACAGTCCATTTCCATCACCACGGACGCTTCCGTGACTACTACGGACTCGGCGTGCACAAACGCCTCCGTCATGGATGCAATAGATAATTGTGAAGCGAATTCTGAAGTTCCCTTGCGCCGAAGCAAACGTGGAAAAGGCCGTGGAACTAGTAACCCTAACTCAGCCACGTCTGGTGCTAATGCTATTGTCTCTACGGACGAACGTGTCGCATCTTGTGTTGTGGGCGGTGTCGAATACCACACAGGTGAGGTTTTTCCTAAAATATCACCGTTAATCTTCGGCGTCTCTATTTCATATTAAACCTGCTATTGGCCTCATTTGTCTCTCTCCTTGCACCTAAATTGTGGCAATGATTTAGAGTTCTTGTATCTTCGAACAAGACCTCTCCAGGTATCCGGGGAATTTTTCACGAGCTACTAATTCTCCTGGTTTTGTTTTTGCTTGTGATGTTTGAATTGACTTCATTGATTTGTATTATGCCGTCTCGTCGGTGTGGTAGCCGGATCAGAATCTGGCAAATGACTGAAAATACTGTTCAGGTGTCCCTGTGCAACTGAGTTGGAGCCCAGTTAGCAAGCGCATGAACACCGGAGACAGGCTGAGTTTTTACTTCGCTGAGATCAGTCAGGCCGCTTTACGACAGTGGTGTATTCAAGTTGCAGGGCAGCTTCTTGTTGCCTTTTAGCATAATGTGGCGCCTATTTATCGATGATGCTAAGGGTGCAGCCAGCTGCAAGGGGCTAACCTTAATGATGCATTTTACTGCATTAGCAGGGGAGTTAAGAAAACTAGAAGCAGCGTAGTATATGTCCATCGGTAGGGACAACAACGTGTACGTATCTTTCAATGAGCAACTGAAAATATTTGGGCGTGTATCGTTACTTCAACTTTGGACGGTTTTATTTAGCCAGCTACCAACGTCTTGTAAGACAACAATCAACATATCAACGTTCTTCGTAATGTATTCCTTTTAACGACGATTCGCTTTGCGATTATTCAGATTCCGCTCCCGAAATCGCCCCGAGGTTTGTTCTCCGTTGAATTCGAAGGGGCGCTTTTTTCTCACTGTTCCGAAACATACAGAGGAGGCTAAGAGGTACAAGGGCCATAGAATCATTTATGCTTACAAGACCTTAAACGTCGAATAATGCAACCGTACAGTTACGTGAAAATTTAGCAATTTAGCTACACTGTATTTGCATGTAATGTGAACAGGAGAAAAGTTTCTAAAACTATTTGTAGTGACCTTCTTGGGGAAGGTACTGTTTATCGTAGCATGCATTGAATGAGCGAATCAATGCGAGAACACTCATGATTTTACTATGGCCTTCCACTTGCACACTCTTAAATTGCTTCATCCATTCTCCGTCTTCTCATCCACAGGGGACTTTGTATACTACGAGGAAGCCGATTTTGAGTACTACACCATTGGGTTGATTGAAGAAATCAAATTCTCACGACGAGACAAGTTCATGGTTTCCGTCAAATGCTTTTACCGCACGCACGATATTCCAGAGTGCGCCAAGCAGTCCGTGTTGGAACGGGAATTATTCCACTCTCCATCCAACGCCAAACTGAAACATGAGGTCAGTTCTCCTCCGCTTATGACATCCGCTTGATTCGGATACCTACACTTGTCCTTCTGTTGTGTTATTCTGCGACAAGGTTGTTTCCCCCATCAAGCTATGTTCACGTTCATCATTGCACCCACTGCTCAACCTGTCGTTGGTCTAGTCAGCTATTCACAATCCTTGCACAACTGTGCAAATCACGCGGGATCTGATTTCGCCTTATAGACTGTAATTCTGTTTTGCCCCTAAGTTCGTTTGCAGCGGGTTTATAGTGACTACGGCTGATGATATGTCGGAAGCATCCGCTTCTGTTAGATTCATTATTACTGCTTCATCTTTTTTCTTAAGTGTTTTGCTTTTACTTGGTGGACAAGAACGTATCACGGTGCGTCAGTCCTAGCTCATCAGACCGACTAAGATAACCAGAACCTTCCGTTTTTTTTCTGCCCACAGTCCAGTTAGTTCAATAGGCATGAGCGATATACCAATGCTGCATCACACTGGACACGCTTCACTGCAACGCGAGAAATATTGCTAGGTCGCCCACACCTACGGAGATTCGAATCGGTGACCTCATCCCTCCGGTCACCGGCTGTCGTTAGTTCATTTGATCGGCTACGACCCATAGACCACAATGCGTTGGATCCGACCACCTTGAATTCGCCTTGTCATAATACTTATCACAATGGGTATAGGGAAATTATCTGAACATGAGGTAAATCAGTGCGATTGCAGCCATAATGCATTAAGGCTATCGGGTGAGAGCGGATGCCTTCGACGACAGCGTCGTTATCAACACTTTTAATCTGCCATGACTTGAAGTCAAGGCGACATCGGCAAAACAACTTCCTTGCGTTTCTCACTGTCGCGCGTCATAATAGACCTAATTTGCAGATGTACATACGTAATGCAGCATGCATCTGACCGGGAGACTGTATAAAACGTGCGAGTGGTATCGGTTGTGAAGTACATCCTGTAATGTCGCAAGTCAAACATTAGTTGGATCGTGTGAACTCCAGCCAAGAAGACGATACACACGTCTTCCCCCTTGCCAGATCTACGTTTTTGTCTCTCTCGATTCTTACACTATCCACTTTCTGGGGGTTTATAGCCATTACTTTTGCATCGTTATTCTTTCCCCGGCCCCAGCAACTTACATCCACCAGTCACTTAGTCAATCCATCGTACGTAATTACCTTTTCATTGACTTCTAGATTTCATCCGATTGCGGTCATTTTTGGCTAGCAGCGAACCTTCACACAGTTAATCGGTAACCCTGTAAAATACTCGATCTGCCCACTGTAAACGGTTCCGGCTTAACATGCACTCCAACACTACACCAAGAGGCTCTGTTGCCAAACACCAAACGACAACCCACGGTATTACTGTTTCGATGCTCTCACTAGTCACCAGTCACATTTTACGGACGCTGGTGGTCGAAAACGATCAGCCTAATAGTGATGCTCTTATTTCCTTTACCTACAGGGTCACACAGCAGTTTTGTGCACCTTATCATTCGTTCACATAGTTGTATCTCACTGTCCCTGCAACTGACAGCGTTTGTCTGTACAGTCAAGATTGGATCCTGCTAACCATTGTTACGCATCCGACATCAAATACATATTAGAAACACTCATCAGTGACGTAGAGGGACGTGGGGAACGCTTCCTCCGGAGCTTTACCTGCTCGATGCTTGCATCTCATACTGTATTTCATGCACGTTTTTCACTAATCTACCGTGGCAGCTTTGCTTTAGTTATTCATCTGAAGATAACCCTATCCTCCTAATGAACAACTTGACCCAAAGCCTCCATTTGCATCTGTTTTCGTCTCATCGTGGCCCCCGTAAGCAGTGTCGGGAGGAGGGCACCACTGGCTTGGGATCGAACTCATCCATTTTGCTGAACTGTCGAGGAGGTACGGTGTCCACTATTTTATCATCTTCCGGCTCATTTCAGCGTAGTTGCTACGCCGTAGCCTACCGCATAGTTTTTGGAGCAAGCTGCTGCGAGTTCAATGTTTTCATCCCGTAGTCCTCTCCATATTTAGTATTTTAACATTACTCCACGTATACATACGTGTTAGTTGTGTTACGGAAACTTCCTGCTAGTTTTTTTACTCGTTGCTTACGGCTGCTTCATTGTTTTTATGAATTATCTCAGTTGCTTGGGGAACTTCAGCCCTCACTCCTTTTTATGACTGTATCAAGGCTGACCTATGTGTTCACCCGAGGTGTCATCCTTCTTACTGGCTCTTAAAATTGCACTCTGAAGCCATGTACTGTAACGAAACTTCCTCATTCGATAAGCGCCCATACAATTCCGGTCTTCCCACTCAATCGCCAATCTTGCTTTATTTCCTGTCGTGTTTCTTTTCTCCCTCACCTGTCATTATATGCACAGTCACGCGCGTAATCTATGTCCGCTGTCCCATACGTGTCGCACTTTGTAAACTTATGTGTTCACTTCGCAACCAACGCTTCAGGTTTTGTCCCGCGAGTTGTTCGTGTCCGAAGTGCAGGAGACACTGGCTTCCAAACAGCTACGCGGTCACTGCAAGGTCACTCATCTGTCGGATTTGCGCACTGCGCTGAACACCTTCTGCCCGGATGAGGAGGATAACTTCTTCTACGTTTTCGCTTACAACCCTGAGAGCAAAAGGCTTATGCATACGCGTGCGGAAATTCGGGTGAGCACATAAAGTGTCATCACATGTTGAGCCACTTTGTATTCCGACTAGCCTTCTTTATTGTTGACAAAATGTTTCATGTAAGCTAACTGACATCATTTCGCCGGTGTGTTGTGCATGACAACAGAGGGTTCGTGGCATAGTGATACTGCATCCTTGTCTGCAATCTCTGTACTCTGGACTCGGGCACGTGCTACGTATGCCTGGTCACCGCTTACCTAAGAGGGCATTTAGTCTGCCAGGTGTAGGGTGGCGCAATGCTCGAGGTAGACAGAAGTTGACTTGGCAGCGGGAAATGAAGTCACTGACGACCAAACTGGATGCCATTGGTCCGTCTCGCCTTTCGGGCTGGAGTCCACGTGACTCGCCTTGTGCTTGCCTCGTGACTTTACAGGACATGGTTCCCAACCGACACCAGTGGCGCGTCTGTTGCCGTCTCCTAATTGGATTGTCTGTTTAAAGTGTGTTTGGTGCTTGGTTATCTGCGGGGTAATGGCTGATTATGACGCGTGGCAGTGAAAGCCGCAAGGAAGCTGTCTCGCCGATGCCGCCTTATCTTTGCACGATAGCCAGCTGTTTGTGACGGTATGTTGTTAACACAAGGTGTAGGCGCCTTGACCCAGAATGTTTGCTTTTGGCATTAAGGTTTTCAGGTAAGTCCCCCTTCTCTCCCTCTTATTATTGTTCATTTCGTAGGTCGTTATGGTTGTATGGCAGCGAAGCATCAGTTCAAATGGCTGATGTACTGCTGTTGATGATGATGATGATGATGACTCGAGTTCCCGCTTTCCTACCTAGGTTTGCGCACCCTTGCGATACTCCAACCCCCGTGCATGCCATCTGCTGATGCATTTCAGTGGAGTATCAGCGCAGAGTACCGATGGTCCCATTTTACATGTTTGATAGTCGTTAGCCATCTTCATCAGGATTGTCAAATTCGTTGTTTATTCTTTTCGATCTGAGCAGCTTTGGTATCGATGAGCGTCATCAAGGGAGATTTTTGACCCCCAAATTATGTCCACCTGCAGATGTAGACAAACTGCGTTGACCCCGAACACACTTGTAGATCGTTGTGCGTTCTCGACCGTTACACACGTTGCCTGTTCATTCGTACATGGCTTGTCATCGTTCTTGATGTGCATTTTGCTGTGTTATGGCTGCATTTGGATGCACACTACATCCGTGCACTTGACATCTAGGAACGGCCTTGAGTGGGTACACATTTCACCGGTCCATTCTTGTTTTCCATATCACACAAATGGGCCAAAGCCCGATCATTTAATTTCCCAGAGCACGCTTGTTGTAGCATTATTTTGACTCGGTGCGCACTAGCAGTTTTTCGTTTGATTGACCTTAAGTTAGCACCTAGTTCCTTAAATGGCTTCATCCTACGGTACCGCAACTCATGACTTGGCTGGCTTATCTCCCAGTTACTTTGGTGTCCGTTACTCATTGTTGCTGTACTTGGTTGGGTGAATCCCTTTGGACGTCCGTTGTGATTGCGTCGCAAAGCTATGAACCACAAAGCATGATATAGGGCCAGGCTGGCGGGTGCCCCTCCTCTTTGAACGAGCTTAGACGCTCTGTCCGACAGGATTCCGTCACCAGGTGACTGGTGCTCTTGCACAAAGTCGACTCTACATTTGCACCCCTCAGGCAATTGGTACTGCCATTTTCTTCTGGTATGTTCCATCGGATTTTCGTTTCCGCTCGTCTGTGCTACCCGATTTACTACACTTTCGTGCTAACTTCATCGCTGTTAGATTCTATCCTTGTGGCGCGTTTCCATTTGTATTACTTTCAACATGATTGGACTGTTATCCCCCAGTGGACATCAATAATCATTGCTCTAAAACTGTATTTTTCATGAACAAGGTAAATGTGTCTAACCTGAAAACATGGATTACCTTTCATTACTTAACGCGGTCGAATCTGCTTTCCCTTGTTTTCCCCTCTTTTTCTTCAATTTGCGACGCATTTCTCTCTGGTTCTGTTAGTCGTGACACCGTTTACCTACATCAATCACCTTTAACTATACTATCTCTCACTCCCACTCGCCCTTTGATTCATATCGTGTAGATTGGGGACGCTTTTCAAGCGGTGATACCCAATTTTCGACATCCCGCACCTGCACACTACCGGCATGTGTACTCGCGCTGTCGGTTTCGTTGTCGGAAACACGGTCACCTTCGGCATCGTTACCATCGATGGTGTTCAACGTATTTGGCTTCACGTGACAAACGGGATGGCCGCAGTTTGAGCTCGAGAAAATCCGAGGACAAAAAGGACCCGCAACTCGCTGCAGAATCCCTCGACCTACCTCCCAACAAGTCACCAAATCCTCTCCTGGTTTCTACTGCCCAGCCCGCTGAATGTGGCTCCCATCCCTGTTCAGCCAGTCCATACGCGAAAACCAAATCCACTGACAACGCAGTAGAAATAGATGGCCTCAAATCACCTCCGACGTTGGAGATTTTCGGTTCTACCGCCAGTGTGGCTGGTTCTCCGAGCGGCGGCTGCTCTCATATTCGTCGTTGGCGCGGTCACGGGTGCCCGAGTCTGATTGACCCAATCACTCAGAGACGATTACATCGTCATCGATGCAATCGACGTTGGGAGACTATCGTTTGGTGCCCGCAAGGGCTGGCCAATTCACTCACGGGCGCAAATAATTGGAACGCGATTGACGTCGATTTTTTGGCCAACGGGGACTTGGCCGGTGAACCTCTGAAGACCTATTTGGATGCTGTACGTTCTATGGTGGCTTTCTTCGGCTTTGGTGGGGCGGATGATGATCTAGCATCAGCAGAGAACGGCCTGGTCTTGGCCAATCTCGCTTCCACCACTCAACATGCCTACGATACGCTCCACAAGGCACATTATTCATTGAAGCTTGCATTGAAAAACATATCCTACAATCCTATTCCATCTAAGGTGAGTTGTCCTTTCTCCCTTCCCCATTTGCCATCAAGTATTTTCATCATTTTCGCTGTCACTTCGGATATAGTAAAATGCAGTCAAGTAAAATACATGATGTTCCGAATCGTGGAATATATTTGAAACTGATCGGGAAGTCGTGAGTTCGGAGAGCTTTGAGAACAAACGGTTGGCGTATTTGTTGCTCAACTTTTCACTTTTAACACAGAATCATCGTCAGTCTAGGTCAGGGGTGTCCAAAGTCCGGCCCTTCATTAACATTTCCATTGACCCGCGGTCTCATCGTGAAATAATAACTTCAGACTTGTCTGAATATGGCCTGACACATTTTTACCTCACAAAATATGGCCTTTCAAAAGTTTGGACACCCCTGGGCTAGGTGAATGAGAATGCAATTGAAGTGGCATTTTATAACAAACAGTGACGATGATCGCCGCTACAGTTGCACCCTGACTCCTCTGGTCTGATGAAGCTTTTGTGTCCTAAGCGAAATGTTGCCCAGCGAATACGCCAACCGATTGTTCCCAAACCTCTCTGATGTGTACATGATGTTCAATTCAGTTTCTCAATTTTGTTCCGTGCAACGAGGTACGGTGGATCCAGTTGCCTCGCTGCAAGTCGCCCAAGTCAGCACATACTAGTGACAATACGAATGATTCAACAGGAATGAACAAGAGCTTAAGGCACCAGTTAGAATGCTCATGAGTACAAAGTGTTTGAGCGAATGGAAGACCCCTACGTAATTGCGTCTTTATACAGACAACGTGCTCAACCACTGATGTGATCGGTCCGGGAAAACGACAAGAACTAAACCAACTCAGCTCTTTGGTGATACGCTTTTCCATGTTCTTTCGCCATGCCTTTGACAGGCGTTCCCGGGGGCTTTCGCCCAAACAAACACGGTATTGGGAAACATCACACACCGTGGTAGTTGGATTGTAGGCATGCGAAGCACATAACTGAAATCGCTCAAATGGGGCACTGGATGGTCTGTTGCCAATCACCAAGTGACAAACCTCCTCATTCCTCACTCGGCTGTCCCGCCAGATGTGGTCAAACAGGCCCATAGTCCGGATCCATGCAGCAGCATTGCCCAGCATTGTAAGCTTCTCTCAACCAATACGCCGTCTGTACAAACAACTGAAGTATCGAAATGCCTACAGGCCTTGGGGCTACGTGCTATGACTGCCAAAGCTACCCAGACAGGTAGACCGACGGACAACTTTGGTTGTTCAGTAATAGTGAGGATTGCTGCTGACTCGGCCACGTCCGGGGACAACAATTTGCAGTTTGAAATGCAAAGCACATAACAGAGCTGCAGCCATAGTAGTCAGCATATGCAGTCGTTTATGATCATTTCTTTCGGTAGGTTGAAATGAATTAGCTAAATGGAGCAACCTTGACACACTCCACTCGTCGCGGTGATCTCAAGACAGCTTACCGATGCCCCTTACGCGGTCACGGGAATCGGGATATAGTGATGTCAGAATAGAGAGGAATATTCCAGCTGCATCCTTCAAGGCTAGATGACAACATTGCATGATGTGGGGAAACGGCCCCTCATTTTAACTGAAGCCTTTCATCAGATCACAAAGTAAGCTTCACAGGTGTCCTGCGTCTGAATTGCAGTACAATCTGGAATACTAACAGGTGAAGCTTGCTAGAAACTTCAATTCATTACCCACAACCATCTCAGTGTGTTTAACTATTCTGTCTACTGCGGTTCTTGACTATCGTCGATTCCAAAAATCGCATCTAACCCCTTTGAGCGTTGGACACTAATCCTGTGCGACCAATTTCCATCTTGAAGGGCTTACATGACCGGATTGATGATCAACCGTAATCTCCGCTAATGAGTTCCACAACTGTATTCCCAACCCCTGTGACTCCTCTACACTCCATTGGGTTTTCATTGCATTCCCCTCCGCTCGATTTCCACCGGATCGCATGTGTGTGTGTGTGTGGTTTTGACTATGCGCACCGTGTACATACGCCATGACCCCCCTATGATGTGACCCCATGTTCCACCGTGTGGTGCGTGTGTTTTGCTCCAATGGATGAGGGCAACTGAGGTCAGATTAACATGACTAAATCAACCTAATTGATCGCCTCAGGTGTTTCTGTGCCCACAACACGGGTTCGGGGGAGACAACACGTGAGACGTTCAACCACCCTCTAGTTGGGGCCTAGTGACTGGTTTTGGTCCACGGTTTGCGTCTGAAATGGTGTTTTCATTTTGATCGGGCCACATGTCTTCGTGCAACACCAGCATATGAACCTTCGTTCAGGTAATGCGTGCTTTCCATTTTGACCATGTGATGCTGCTAGGGTGGATATGCCAGCGACGAACAGCCAGTTTTGAATTCTCAGCTAGTACCGGTCTAGTGCAAGAACCGTGCTGCGCGCGTCTTCGTGGTCCACGTCGTCTCTACTGTCATTGTAATCCGGATAGTGAAGACAAAGTGAGGACAAGCATTGCCTGACCAGCAACCGAGTGCTGTTCACACTCATTCGATGCGTTTTGCGATCAGTTAGCTCCGGATGAACAGCCATGATTAGTGCACCCAAATACATTGCATCCTATCGCTCGTAGCCGAGGTGTTGTTGGCTTACATTAGTCGCGTCGGCGTGAACTTTAGGCCGAATACTCCGATGAGCAATTCCGATGACGGGCTATGGTTTAGCCAGCTAAATCCTAACTCTCTACCATCCCTTCGAAAGAAACGTCTGTTCCGATGACCTTCATCGCTGGCGACTGTTCGCCACTTTTAGTTACAGAGAAACGCCTTCCAAACTGAGCACCTGCATCATGTTGCGGCAACGCACTCGTTCTCAAGCGAGTCAAGTCGGTGGAATCTGGACTGGTTTCCTTCACAAGAGGATACAGTGATCATTTTCTTGCACTTCGCCAAATGCTTACACATAGTAGCTCTTGCAAACAGTCTGTTGTTTCGGTATTGCTCGACCTGAATGCTGCGTTTCATTCAGTTGACTGCACCTATCTTTGTGGCTACGCTCGAAATACTTAATGACCATATTTTTCCCATCAAAAGTACCTGTACCACCCTGTTTATATGAGTGATAATAGTCCTGAACAACTCTCCTCTTCTAAACTGCATATTATTTTAGATGAACCGATGACAATTTTAGTGTATACAGACTGAATCGTTTTCTTTGGGTCCGACATAGCTGTTGCGCAGGCACCACGGAATTTGTTGATGCTGAGCATCGCACGCTTCGGCGCGTACTTTGCATCTTTCGAATGCCAGCGTGGACATAGCGTCAGCCCTCAATTTCTCCCAGTATACACCAGAATTCGTCGATTAGTTTTTCGCGTTGATGTACTACCTGTGGTCGCCGTGTCGCGGAATATAGTGTTGTGTGCATTGACAAGACACGTGTGGTTTCTCAAAACTCGTTTACTTATTGGGACGGTAAAGTACACGCTTATTGGTCAAGAGAAGAGTGCACAATGCTGCTGTCTCTTTGCATCCGGTACAGTGCAACTGTGTACTTAAGGAGTTTAACCAATGCTCTTCATCGCTGCTTGCCGAGTATCGTCCATATCTGGTCGGACCACCATGCGCGACAGGTCGAGGTCTATCAGTGTGAGTTCGGTAACAAGCCCTCCGCTGTGCAATGGGCTATCTTTTGAATTTGAGCCCCCTGTGACTAAGTCATGCCTTCTAGTGGCTTACCGACGGGCTTCGTGATCCTCTTTATGGGTACTGATCCTATCAAATTTACTTCCTCTTCGACCGCTTCATGTGGCTATGAAAGATCATGGAGCAGCTGACCGAGGATTGAACGTGCTTGATGCACTTCTCCTTATTGCATGGGGTCTCCGGCATTGGCTACATCCATGTTTAAAGAACCCGTCAATTGTGAAGTACACTTCTTGCGATTTCGCTCCTCCGTCCGTCACTTTCATTTTTTATCTTCTCTTCTTCACATCTGTTGTTATTACTTCACCTTTAAAGTGTGTCAATCATAGCAACCTAATCGACCTGACTCCGGTGCTCCGATCACGATCTGACGTTCACCATCATTGTTCCTACCGTCACAAACTGGGATTACGCGAGAATTAAGCGCCAAGTTTATGCTGGTATTCAGGCTTTGTGAATCACCCAGCGACCTTGACTATTTCATGCGCTTGCTGTATTCGGTGCACATGGGCGTACGGGATTCCGCTTATCGCCATTCTGCTTGCAACGTTTGACCCTATGCTCCACCGTGTGGTATTTGCGTCTCAACTTCGGTCTCGGTCAGCCATTTTTTGCCAACTATGGGAATAGCACGCTGACGGTGCTTCCTCTGCGTGATACAAATCATTGTGGCTTAGCCATCGTCCTGTGAAATGCGCGTTTCCCAAACAACCCGCTCTGCCGTTTGTGGCCGCTCTGATCACATTGGTTCAAACAGAATCAGAAGAGTACAACCTGGAACGACCTGCCTCAGCATATAGTAGAAGCGAACACAGTGGCTAAATTCAAGATGCTACTAGACAAACAATTTGCAGAGGCAAAGTACAAAGAGCGAAACGATAAATAAAAAGTTCATGTCCGAAAACGACGAACGATGCAGCTACACAGAGCAACCTCTACTCGCTGCTTCCCACCAGTTCTCAGTTCTCAGTTCTCACCATATGCACTACTTGCCATATTTCTACTTTCACAGTTTCTTTGCGTTGTGAGAGTACTATTCTACCCGGCATTTCCTTTGTAGTTTTCTTTTATTCACACGCGCCACTAGAACTAGCTCTTAAGCAACCCAGGTCTTCATCCATTCATCCCTGTGATGGTGACCTGAACTAACTATGGATTTTTCTCTCGTTCTACCTATTTGCTATCTCACACATCTATTCGTTTTGTTCACAACCCAGCCCATCTCGCTGCTTGCCTAAGTCTAGACCTAAATGTGCAGGTAGGTAGACTAGAGGTTCATGAGCTCGAACTTGGGAGTCAACACAGCCACGGTACTTGCAGAACGGAAAACGA